GGTGAAACTGATTTCTATATATATATTTTTTACCCTAAGCCCTTGCTAGTAAGTTATTCCAATATATTTTCTTTAATGGATTTTCATCTTCTAATTGTTTGAGTCTTTTTCATTACTGTTTTCAACTGTTTAAATTACTAAATGTAATTCTCACTGTTTTTATAATTTAAACAGAGTGTGGGTGTATAAACCTTTCATAAGCTTCTGTCACAAACCAGTTGTATTTTACAGTAGTACGTAGCATAAAGTAGGTCATAGGCTGTTCACTGTTAAGTTGAAACAACCAGATTTTACAGAATTCTGGTTTATTTGTGCATTAAGATGAGGGAAAATTGCCTGTTACCTAAAATAGATGGTAAGGATGTTTGTACCTAATGTATATGTGAAAAGGACAAAGTCCTAGGCAGGCAATCCTTTGATGTGTAGTTGGAGTTCTGCAGATTACTGAATATTCCACTCCCAGGAGTTGACTGAAACTGTAAATGCATTCAAACTCTGTGCTTCTTTTAGCCATCATCTGTGCCTTCAACACTGCAACATCAGTACCATAAACTATGTAGAAAAAGCTGCATTTCCGAGGCATGTGGCAGACAAACAAATTATTGTAGCGGGAGCTGCAAGTCAAAAATATGGCTCAGTTAACAGCTCTGCTCAGAGACCCTCACCTCACTCACAAAGAAATTAAGTGCAGTCTCCGCTGGTGTTAATTGTTGTAGCATCCTGTGATTTAGGACATGCATGTGGCTGCAGTTTGAAATAGGAATTGTTAAAATCAGTAACATGAGTGCACTGGTGACAACAACCTTATCTACTCTGGCAGTAGAAAACATATGCCCTGTACAGATAGAAACCATATATCAGAAATCCCTACACTACACTATCCCTACACTATTTGTCAGTTTTAAATAATGAGCACTACCAGTAAATCTTAAACTATGAGACTGTTCTAAACACCACTATAAGATGTGGGGGTGATTATGTGTTACAGAATGGACATTTGGACTGTTCATTTCACATCCTGAATAGTGATTGCAGAAAAGCACCTGAAAAGATCTCTCCTTTTCTTTGTTTGGGTTTTTGTTTTTTATAAACTTACATGGCCATAATGCCTAAGGGCCTCAGCTGCTCTGTGCCTTGGATCTCGGAGCAGGCGCTGATGTTTTAGAACAAAATAAAATATTGTGATAATACCTTATGTTCCACTTCTATTTAAATCTCACATTACATTTCCTATGAATGTATAATTCATGATTAGGAATTCCCTGCAGAATTTTTTTACACATTCTGTTACATGAACAACTTGGGAGTTAAGGGGTTTGTCCTTTTTCTGGGAGCTGAGTCCAACCTCCTGTCAAAATGGTTCTCTTGGCACTGCCCAGACTGCAATCGCCCCAGTCTACCTGGCATCCTCAGGCAGCTCGTTCTGCCCAGTTATGTCCATATGCCTTTCCCCAGCATGCAGGAAATCTCTCTAAAAGGGGATGGCCTTCGCTGCAGCAGAATCACATTCGTGCAACGGTGGTAATCTGTTAGCGTAAGGAGGGAGAGGGATAAAATGGGAACAGTGCTGTTCAGCTTTAACATTTTTAAGGCCATTGAAAATGGAAATGGGTCTTTCTCTTGCTCCTGCTGAAAGAATGGCAGGACTCATAAGACTTCAGAGATTAAAATTCAGCATGTAAGTAGCAATGGTGGTAAGCTTGTTCTTCGTATCAGCATTTACACTATTCACTGCTTTTAGATAGGTGTTGCCTGAAAAAATGTGTTGGATTATCAGCTCATGTAAATAGTTCTAAACTCCGTGGGAGTTATGCTAACCTGCCAACAAATCATCTTCCTTAGGCCTTTAAAAATATTAAAGCAAGTTAGTTCAGCTTGAGGTGTCATGGCCTGAAGAATATTTCCAATGGAAATTTCTAGTGAAAAGACTTAGGCAGGCAGACTTTGTTCCCCATCCTTCCAGCCCATCTGAATCCTAAGGACATCTTGCTTTTCTGTCAGCATAGGAAGCAAGTATATGTCAAAAGCTATTTAAGTAACTCTCTGAAATCCCAATTCATGTTGACAACCTGTGCTCCCTGGTTAGCATGATGTGATTCAAAATTGTTGTGCTTAAGTAACACAGGGTATGATAAGACATGGAAGCTCCTAACTAAAACCTAGAAGCTACCTAAGAGACCGGCTTGTCCTAATGTTGGACAGCATGTGTGAGCCCTGGGCTTTTGGAACTTTCTGCATTTTTTACAAAATATTTACAAAGGACAGCCTCATTACACCAAGAAATATCAAATAATCAGATATCTGGCCACCGTGGTTGTACCTGGGGTTTCTTAGGCATTGACTGTGCTTCTTCTTCATTATGTATCACTTTTCCTTTATGTTTTCTACTAGCAAAGATCTTCCATGTTGGCAGCACTTTGAGCACCTTAAATGAGCCCATCAGAGTGCTGCAGCCCAATATTCTGGGAATAAAACCAAAGTTTTTCTTTGCTGGTTTACAGCTTCATACCTCAGAAAGGTAACTAGGCACTCCTGAAACTGTATGTGAAAGTATTTTTTTTGGCTTGAATGTCCTTCTTTGGCTTCAATGTAACTTCCCAATAAATGTGCTTGATGTGAAAAGCATACAGTATAGACGATCCATCTTGTAAGTAAATAGATTTTTATCTTTATAATTTAAAATGTGTAATCTAAAATATTTGTAAAATATTAAAATATTAAGAATGAAATGTGACAGCTGGAATCACAGTATGCTGAGAAACCAAACTCTTCTGTCGAGAGAAGGCAAACATTATGTTAATCTGTATTACAGCATTCTGAACGAATACAGAGCTTTGAAAACAGCTTTCATTAGGAGTTGGGACATTTCACTTTTATGTAGAGCTTTTGTTCATTTAGAACTGTTTACTCCAGCAAGCAACCCTGTGCTCTTTGTTTGACTCATTTTTCCCATTTGGCAGACCCTCTGCAATCACATGGATAACATTCTTCTTTCCACTGAGACATAGAAAAACTATTCATTACTGACCTTGCTTGTTGTTCTTAATGACAAAAATATATTTATGTGCTAGGTGAATTGTATGACTCATCACTGACTTTTAATTGAAAATTCTTCAAAGCAAGAAACTCAAAGAGCTGCTTTCATTTTTAACAACCCAGTGACTTCTGACACCCTCTGCCCTCAGCTACACATGCCCCATTCCCACAGACAGCGCTGAGAACTGTGTGCAAGTATCTGAGTGCTGAAGCTTTGTTAGAACAAAAAATGACATACACAGAAAAAAAATACACTTTTTTGGCTGGATGGGGGATTTTTGTTTTTGTGTTGAGTAGGAGAGCATCTGCTGTGGAAGCGTGGATGTCTACATTCTGATTTATGTGCATGTTTTGGAAAGCTGAGTATTTAATGTTTTATTAAAGTGGGAAGCAAACTGGAAGCCTCAGAACATACACAAAATGATTCAGCATTTCAATTATGGTTTTTTCACCAAGCTCCCAAAACATGGAGCTCATGAACTAACTTGTGTAGTACTGATTTAGAAAGGTTAGCATGACAGTTTTACTTTGACGTGTGAGGTGTTATAAATCAGAGAGGTTACATCAGGGGCCCATTCTGTCCCAATGTAAGTGGCCACAGTTTTGTTCAAGCAGACGGGATTTGCAAATTTAGCTAAAACGTTTGTGTCCAGGTTTGTGTTCCTGAATGGTTACATAGAAAAACTCTTCTGATAGGCAAAAAACTATGGATAAAATAAATTGCATCTTCAGTTAGAACTGGAGTAGTTCCGATTTCTGCAGGGCTGCAACAATTTGTGCAAATTCATGCTCTGTTCATAATGGTCTCATTTTCAAAAATCCTGCAAAGGCAAGGAAAGCTAGGGTTGCTCTGCATTTCTGCAGGGGAACAGTCAGTGGACCTTTTGTTGTCACTTAGCATATGTGCTGAGAAAGTGTAAAATTCAGATCACAGTGATGGCATTTTCAGTGATCTCACGTATGTGCACTTACAAAATAAGCAAGCAGAATAAAAATCGGATTGGGTACTCTTGCGAATGACCCCATGGTTTCTTAAATTCAGCTTGGCCAAGCATAGTTCCACTTAGGCCTTTCGTAATGTCACAGTACTGGAACAGGCTGCCCAGGGAGGTTGTGGATGCCCCGTCCTTGGAGGTGTTCAAGGCCAGGTTGGATGGGGCCCTGGGTAGCCTGGTTTAGCATTAAATGTGGAGGTTGGTGGCCTTGCATGCAGGGGGGTTGGAGATTCATGATCCTTGAGGTCCCTTCCAACCCTGGCCATTCTGTGAATCTGTGATTCTGCGATTTGCAGTTCTGCTGCTTTTTCCGTATAAGTCCAACAATGGTCTAATTGACTGGAGGGTAATCATGGTAAAATGTGGATACCACCTAGCTCTGCTGTGATCCAACTTCAATTTCTTCCATGACTTACACCAGCTTTGTGCTCAGGGACATGATTTAATGGAGGGTTGTTAGAGATAGGCTGGTATGGTTAGGTTGTGGTTGGACTTGCTGACATTGAAGGTCTTTTCCAACCTGAGCAATTCTATGATTCTGATTCACAATTATACCAGTAACCCCTCATTTTTTTTCTTCTTTTGGATGCTGATGCATTTCACCAGATCAGGAAGATCTGGTAAGACAGCAGCTGTGTGGTCCTGTCCCCTCCTTTTCACAGGCATTAGCAATTGAGCCAGCTCAGGAAACTGCTGAGCCAACTGGAAGAATAGAAATCAGCGGTAGTGTTAAGAGTTTGTCTGCACAGCTCCTTGAGTGTCTCACAGAGGGTTTGGTGGATGCCAGAGCCAGGAGCAAGTGTGGGAATGTGACCAAAGGTGGAGGAGCCAGCTTCCTTCACTTCAACTTAGCTCACATTGCAGAATCGCACCCACAGTGTCACTGCAGGATAAAGCTGTCTGTAGCACCAGAAGTTTGCTTCTGCAGAAAAATTCAATGTGGGTTTTAACACCAAGTTAACACAAGCATTGTAAGTAAATAGTAAAGCCTTTATTCTCGTTAAGAACAGCATTTTGAAAATAAAACATTTGCCCATGCTTTACAACCTTTGTAGTTTTGTATATGTATGTACAGACATCATGGTATGCATTGATTGTCTTGAAAATCCTTTAAAGATGTTCTTAATAAGATACCAGTGTATGCAACAATCAGCGGAAAAAGGGTATGTTATAAAACACACATTAATACATTTAATAAATATATATCATCTATCAAAAATGAGCTTTAGCTCTCATCAGTTAATAAAAAGCACCTGCTTTGTAATCCTGTAAGTTGGTAGAATAGTCCAATTGTTTTATTATAAAAGCTACAATGCTCCCTTTTGCACTGCCTTTGGTGAGGCCCAAGGCATCAAGCTCCAAAGCCAACCAAGATGCCCGTGTTTACACTAAAAACAGATACAGCTAGTTCTATATTTCGTGTACCTTGTTTCTAGAAACAAGTGTATGTACTAAGAGTGCTGTTTTGAAGATGCTACATATTTTCTGGCCAGTGTCAGATGCCCTCAGCTCATTTGAAAGCAGGACAGGACCTGTAAAATTATGGCTCTGAACTCTTCTTGGCCAACTGCAGAAGCCAGTTATTAAAAATCTTGTTCTGGTAACAATTTTTTCAGATGTTTTACAGTTTCACTTTTCTGTATGGAAACACCATGATCACATAGCCATCAAGGGACAACACAGGAGCTTTTATACTATAAAATCCTAATTAACTGAACTGTGAAAGGCTTGTGCTTACACTTACTATGTTGTTCACAGATGCTTTACATTCTAGATAACTCATAAAAGGCAAAAGCAAACAAATTGTTTGACTGTAACAGAAGTATAAGCTAACATAAAGGTGCCTTTCTTTGATCACATTTTTATTTGGGGCATTTAACATCACGAACCAGTGACTTACAAAAAAAAAGGTTGCTTATTACTAATTGTACAAAATTGGAAAATAAAGACCTTCCTAATCTATTGCCACACCCTCACCACCACAAATTAAGACCAATCCTGCCACTTAGTAATCCTGTGAAGGGCCCAAGTGATTAACTGGCTACAGTAGTCATGCCAGTAGCAGCCTCTAGGATCTGGCCTTATCCTTACATAAGGCCTTAAATTCTAATCAGCTTCATTAGGAACAGGATTGGGAAGTCTATTTATCAGACAAAAACATTTCTTAAGAGAACTACATGTTGTAAAGTTTTGTCCAAGGTCTGTAGCAGTTGTATTGTAGTTCCTAAATCTTGGTTGTAGCATGATAAACTTTTTAAAAGAAAACTGTCCTACCATTTATGCCATGGTCATCTTATATGTTTTTACAGTAGAGCTTTGTGATTTTTTAAATTTGATTTTTAAAAGCAAAATTCAGCAGGCAAGTGATGAAAATAGGTTTTATATTGTTCGAAGTGATGCATTTTCAGGGTAAATATCATGAATGCTATCTTATTTAATTAAAGCTTTGCTTTTAACAAAGCAGATGTATTTCTAAGTCACTGGATAGCATGCAATATCCACCCCTACCCTACTTGGTTACTTAGGCCATCTAGGTACTTAAAAAATAAATAAGCAATCCCTAAACAAGCACATGCTTCCTTTGCCTTGAGGAGGGAAGGGCAGGGGGGAATATCCAACATGGAGCTAACATGTTACTTTACTCATGCATGACAGAAAAACACTGCTTCTGGAAGAGAACAGCTGTGAAGTAAAACCTCATAAGATGATCATGGCAAGAATGGCAACATATATTCCTTCATATATATATATATATATATAAATATACACACAGGCACACATGTATCTGTGTGCAACACTTAGGGACTGGTCTTGCAGCTTCTGTACCTGTATGTAGACTGGCTGGTATCAAAGGGACTACTTGTGGGAGTACAGTCTGCAGGACTAGGTTCCTAGTTCTGCAGAAATGGAGGTAAGTGGAGAATCAGGAAGACTCTTGAAAAATAGAATACTTGTCTTTCTTCTGCAGTAGAAAGCAAGTAACTTCTTTCTGTGAAGCAACTAAGCTATTTGGTTATTTGTACATTATATTTTTTTAGTTTGAAAATATAGTTTTTTATTATATCATATGCAGAGTTTATTTGTTAAATGTTTCCTGTGCCCTCAAGTAAAAACAATTTGATTTTAGAATTCCAGAAAGCTAAGATTGACGTTGGCCAAATGGTGAGGATACGGTGATGTTTTCAATGTCCGATATGTATTAAATGTTAAATAAAGGAATGACTGATTAAACGTAATGAAAATCATGACACAAACAATGGGCAATGGGAACCTTTTAAATAACCTGGAGAAAACTAAGATAAAAAGCTTTGAGAAAGGCTGCCATTTTAACTCGAAAAAGCGGAGGCAGAGGGGATGACTAAGGAAGAAACCACCGTAAAAAAAACAACAACAACAACAAACCACCTCCAGAAGGGAGATTCTACCAGCTAGCCACTAAAATGCACAACCACAACTAAATGCACAAACAACCGCAGTCAATAAGACTACCCATACAAACAGGGATTGGAAGCAGCAGCCTCAGCCCTACGCGCACCGCGTTCCTCCCATCAAGCGGTCGGTGCTCTGCAGCTGCCACTGACCAGCCTGCCACAAGGCGCCAGCCTTGGCCCACCAGCACAGACAGACTCCAGCCCATTATGGACAGACCTCAGCCCACCAGCACCGATGGACATCACCCTTCATCTGCTATCACAACGCACTCGTGGCAAACACGAATCACGTTCTCTCACCAGCTAATTCTTTGCAAAGCGTATCCCTCCAGATTCCTTTAATGGCTGCTTCTGTAGGAGAAGTGAGAACGTGCAATTCTGCTCACATCCAGGTTGAGGAACAGGAGGGAATCCAATTCCAGGCTGCCGAAGAGCTGCCTATGCTGGACCTGTACTCCTCTGCCTCAAGAAGCTCCTGCGCTCGCATAAAGCACACACAGACCTTGCATCTCTCCAGAACTGCTTCTCATACATGAGCTTTTTAAAGAGAAGAGTGTCAACCTACAGCATGATGGTAACGGCGTTGCCACAGAGCAGTAACGCGTGACGTTCCAGTACAGCTGGATCATGAGGCAAACAATATACTTTTCATGACATTTCAAATGAAAGGAAAAGGAGCAAGATGGAAAGAAATCCTGCATGTCTTCACACTGTGGTGGCAATCTCTTGTGGCAACGTGAATTAAGTTTAGGTGAGAGGAGGGCAGTTTGCAAGCAGCTGGTATCCAACAAAAAGAATCAGGCTTGCCTTGCACACTGGTTACTGGTTACAGACAAGGGAATATCTTACATTTCAGAATACAATATCCCCCTCTTCCATTTTGAAGTGTGCCTACCTCTGTTTTAATTCAGATTTAGCTTCAGACTTACAATTTTCTTTTTGCAGTTAGTTTATCCATTCCGTGGTGTTCACATTTACACAAAATCCTCTGTGGGATTTCGCAAGCTCCTGGATGTTCTGTTGCTTTGTTCTGGTACTGTTATCAATTCCTCCCTCAAAGACACACTGCCAGGGAATAATTCTGCAACAAGGATTCTTATTCTCTACAGCCTACAGCCTTTCACCAGAGGTGTCGTCCAGTGTAACTTGGCGGAGCTGTTGGTATCTGCAAATAAGGATAATAAACCCATAACTGGGAGTTCTGGTCTGTTCAGCAATCAGTGTTACCATGCTACATGTACAGTATTTCCAGAGCAAAGCACTACAATGAAACTCATGTTCAACCCACATGGCACGTTTACCTCTCTGTAGAAACCATGGCTATATACACGTTTCTCTCTCATATTACTATCCAGTGCTCTCCATTAAGTTTTGTATTCACCTCAAAACAAGACCAAGCAAATTCCTTAATTTCTCATCATCCTTGAACTGGTTTTCCCTGAGCTGCATATTCTGGTACCAGAAAACACAGGCATGGATGAAACCAAGCATCAAAAGGGTGCTATTCATGACTGACAGCAAAGCACAAACCTCTTTTTATTCAAATTGATGTGTTCCCACTGTGTTACCCACATGACAGAATCCTTGTATCTAGTCGGCCTTGTTCACTAAATCCAAACAAAATGGTATTTTCTTACAAACAAACAAAGAGACCAGCATTTGGATTGCATTATTTGGCTTTAAATGTAGAGGCTGCGTTATGGAATCAGCTCATGACTCAAAATTAAAAAAAAACAACAACCCAACTCATGTGTAGAGAGCTCATGGATAGATTTTTACAAGCACATAGATATGCATGAAAAAATATGGGGATGAAGATTATTTTTCAACATTATGCCTACTATATGCCACTTCTTAAACGCAAATTACATGTAATGCTGGAAATATTTGTAAGGTTTGTTTGGCATCAGCTCACTAAGCCATTCCTACAGCTACCACGCTGCAAAAGACGAGTCTATGGAATAGTGGCATACCAAACTATTGCCTAAGAGAGAAAGATCAGTGTTGTTATCATTAAAATATTCTACACTGCTTTTTATTTCCCAGAGGTCTTTATGTCTGTATCTTACAAAGAACTATGTGCATTTGCAAGAAAATGGAAACTAGGTGAGAGGCTATCACTATCTGCTACAACGATTCTTATTTAAAGCAAAATACTGGCTTGCAAACATTTGTGTGATTCACAGTGTCTTGAGAAAAGATCAGGTTAGAAATTGTGTCACTTAATAGTTAACTTTAACACAAAAGTAATTCAGAGGGGTCACTGAATAGATAGAGTTACCAAAACACTGGGTCCTCCCAAGCTACAATGCAAAATGTGAAGGGGCAATTAATGAAAAGCAAAATACTTTCAAATGACATCTTTTCTAAAGGGGGAGGGAAGCATTACATGCATACTCGCTGCCCAAATTTGCATTTATAGCTTTCCCCCTGCTCTAGACAAGCTAAATGCAGAAGGCTTTTCAATTAGTAGCAATTGCATATATCGGTACATCATCACATTTTGATACTTACAGTCCCACCATTCAGCACAACTGCCATCTCAGTTGGCTGATAAACATTGCTTCTAAAAGGAGCACTAGGTCGGCTTCCCAAACTGCCGTTGCGAAATCCTGCTGTCCTTAGCGCTGTGTTTAAAAAGAGAGACTGTTCTTAGGAACACGAGTAATGCTGTGCATCTCCTTTGAAGTCATAAAATATCGTGCTCCCAGTGCAGTTACTGGGAACTGTGCCACTGGTTTTAACTTTTATGCTGCCGTATCAGTTTCTGTATTGACTTTGAACAGCAGTTTTTCTTACAGAGTTGGGGATGGATATCAGAAGAAATAATGTTTTACACAAAAGTAACTGCTTGCGGTGGAATGGGGGCACGTTTCTTGAAATTTGCTTAGTTTCATTTCACCAGGAGTTAAATATCCTTAGTCAGTGCACCCGTGATGCATCCTGAATAATGTTTTTTGCCGTGTGCTTTCTGCATCAGTCTGGATACAGTGGGGTTAAGTGAAATGCTATTACACTTTGCTTTCAATCAAACTGGGAAGACAGAGATCCAAAGCACTGCTTGAGCCAGCAAGCATGCTCATAGTCCCCCTGAGCATTACTTCAGCATGACTAGCACGTAAGGACTTTCCAGATGTTTCAGATTATATTTACCCTGAGAAACTAGAAATATGAAGTAAATACTGCTTTCGAATAGCTTAAACGTAGCCATTGACCGAAGCAAAAGAGAAGGCACTGACTGCCCTTCCGAATGCAGAACTACATCAGCTTCTCCATGACTTTTAGCACAAGTTTGGATTTCAGGATTCTGAAAGAGACACCGAGTTAGAGATGTGCTTCTTTCTGTTTAAACCAGGCTGGAGATTGGCACACACATACTGTTTTTTTTTACTTCAGGGGTAAAGAATGGCTTCTCTGAATTCAGATGTGGCCGAGGAACAGAGCTCGTTTATACGCACTGTGCGAGCAGATCCAGCGGGCAGTGCCCATCTGTCAGCTGGCAGATAGGTGCTGCATTGGGCACCTGGGGCAAGAATTCCACTTAGATTTAATTCAAATTACAATTCTATTCTATGCTCTCCAGCTGAAAACGGAGGAACTAAGTTTAGAGGAATTTCAGCATAAACCTTAATGAAGTCCGGATTTAATATCTTTGCAGTGTGTGCATCAGGACTTAAATGGAGCCTACTGCTATGCACAGTCTTGCATACACTGCTCTCTTCTCTCTGGGAGTAGTGCACAGAGATGATGAGCAGTACTGACTTATCACACATATTTAAAAATCTAGCCCTGCAAGTGCTTAGCTACTGACTTCACGTATATACAGATCCTCACTTACTCTATACTTAAAATTTATATATGTACAGAATTACATAATTTTTTTTTTCTTTTTTTTTTTTTTTTTCCCAGAACACTAGAATAAAGGCTTTCATCTGCTGTTCACCCACAATTCTGTATCTTTATTTTATATTTAACTATCTCAGGGTCAGTAGTATTCCTTCTTTGCAGTTTGGCTTCTTTCTGTGCCTTAGACACAACTGATTGCACTAGTATTTAGTACTACACAAAGAAAAAAGATCTCCTTATAATGCATGCTATCAGTAAAACATTTACACATTCTAGCATATAATTTGCACGGTAATTTCAATCCTATCCTGAGACAGTACCTTCAAAGCCAGCTGAATTTTTCTTCCTTATTATTGCCAAAAGTCTAAAATTCTCCTAATGTGAGAATCAGAGACAAAGTGCGTGGGCAGAATAAATACTCATTTGGGGATTTGCTTTTCCTAGTGGTTTTACTATTTCTCTTGTATTTTTCCTGGTATTATTAAATGCATCTACTCATGTAGAGGATCAGTAGGTTAAAAAAAATTGCCAAGGAGGATTGAACAAATGCCAGGTCACAGTCTCCTATGTGTTTTTAATTGTTAGCTTTGTTTGTAGGTGGCTCAGAGGATGACTTTAGTGCTTAACAGTTAAACAAAATTTGGCGAGCAGCAGAGCTTCTTAGGCTTGGGTTTCATGACAGCTGCAAAACTCTACATTTCACACCCACGTTCTTCATGCAGAAAGCAAACTGTGTTTGCTTTGCTGAAGCTGCCCCATTACTGTGCACTGCACTTCCAGTTCTCTGGGAGCTCACTCAAGTTGCCCTTTTTCAGGGATTGTAAATACTTTACTGATATTCTTACAAGAGACGTAAATGAAAGTTAGTCTCCTAAGTACTTTGACATGTCTGTTACATGAATGTTAAAATTAGTGTGCTGTTTAAATGACGGTTAAGTAACTGAATGTAGAACCGTTTTGCCTTACTAATGCTTAATGGTATTCCTGGAACAGAGCAGATCTGTTGGTAAGTATGACTTGGGGCTACATAGCAGTAAGAAAAACTATGAGAATGCATGCTTATTTGAACCTGTAGTTTAAAGGTTATTCCAAGTCTGAAAATGATAAAATCTTTTTAAAAAGGAAAAAAAAAAAAAAAAAAGAAAATTGCTTTATATAGCATGAATTAATGGAAAATACATCCAACCAAGCATGTTTTCTCAGTAAAGCTATTTGTTTAAACCAAGTCAAGGAACTTAGAGTTGATTTCTGGTTACAGAACACTAGAATCATCTAGGTCAGAAAAGACCTTCAAGTCCAACTATAAATCACATCTTCCAAAACTTTCCAGCTAGTAGAGCTTAAAATCTGAAACACTGTTATTATGCATAATTGAAGAAAGTACTCATCCCTTAATTTCTGAACTCTTAATTACATTTCATTAATTAATTTATTACATTTAATTAAATGAATAACAGAAGAGAATATGCCATAATATGTGACTTGAATATTTTTACTTCTATTTAATGCTCTACTGTAAGTTATGTCTCCAAACCCTGTTGTCATGGTTCTGTACACAACGTAGAGAATCCAATCTTTTCCTCCACGTGCCATGAGGATAGGAATGACATTCATTTATTATGATAAATATTAACAAGAGAATCAGATGAGGAATTACTTTATATTCAGACTAGAACAGAACATCGTAAGGTACGCTAAAACAGATACTATAATGATTTTATAGCTGTCAGGCGTCTACCCTTGTCACTGCAAAACCTGATCACTGACCAATCAGATCTAAATGGAGCTTCCAGTTCTTTTTTAAGTGTAGGCATGAATGAAAATAATGGGGGGTGAAAGATCTGACTTTTTTCTTTAGCTCTGTCTTAGTCAGGAACAACTCCTCTGTAGTCACTGCACTTACGTTACTATGACATTAATTTACTGGGGGATGGAGAGCAGTAAAATAAAACAGAAGTGCATTTATAGTCTACAGTGAAGTTCCTTTGGAATGCTGGTAATGAACAGCTATTCTTTTATCCACATTTTGTTTTACCACTGCCTTGCTGTGTCCTCACAAGACCTTAACTCTCTTCTGTTCAAAGCTTCCATCCAAAGCGGAGACCTTTGAAGTTGCTGCTAAAACACATGGAGGGAAATACCTTCCTGACCCAGCGCTGTCACACGAGTGCTCTTCTCCTTCATCCCTGCTCTACATCCAGCGGAAACATCAAGACCCAGGGAAAATAAAGATAGGTGGAAATGAATAAAGAGGTAAAGTGCCTGGACTATATAACCAAAGCCTTCTTTTGTGGACTGCCATAACAGTGTGGCAACCATTGGCTTGGATACTAAAGCAGTTTGAGTAGTATCCAAATCCTTTCTTCAACCATGAGGCATCAGCAGAACACAGCCTTCTCTCCTCATCACCATCAGGTGATTTCCACCACTGCTCACATAAGCAGTCCTGGATATTTCCTGATATGTGTTTAACCTTCAGCAATGCTTTGGATCTCCTGAGCAACCAGTTTGCTGGCCTTTTTGGTACTCATTCCAACATTTTCATTGCAAATTTTCTTTACATGTCATCCCACATTGTTCTGTGTCATCCAGTGGCTGTGACAAGGAAAGCAAGTAAGACCTGTCTGTGCATATTCTGTTAGCACGTTAAAGTCTTCAGAACAAAGACTGTCTTTGAACTTGTCTATATGCCACCTTGCATCTTTTTTTCCAGTGTCACAAGAGGAGACTGAGTCCTCTTTTAATGGTAGTATGATTAATAGTAATTATTCTGTTGCTGAAGAGACTGAGCCTTTGTAGCATGAGAAACTCAACTTATTTCTTGTTTTGTTTTTTTTTTTTTAGGAACATATTTCATACAAAATGTTATTAACTAAGAAAGGCAAAAAATATTGTACTGTTTTAAAATAGAAGTTATTTTTCCCACTGTGTTTTTCTTCTGCTTTTGGTGTTGTCTGTTTACATTTGAAATTGTTCTGTTTATCAAAGAAAAAAAAGGCAAATGAAAAAAAAATTCTAACATTTTAACCAAACATCTGTTTTCTGTACTACATTTTTTTAATGTTCTTCTTCCATTAAGGTGGCTTTAATTAATACATTGAAAGCAAGCTGTATGTAAGGTGTAAAGTATGGCTTTTGTAGTAAGCCTTGTTTTTGACACCCGAAAAATGTCTCACACAGATATTTTCTTTGCTGCTACAAAAATAAAGTTATGAATAGTAAATTCTTACCTGCATTATGTTCATCCATAGAAAAGGCTTTGTTTTCCATGTAGCTCCGAGGAAGCTGTATTTCTTCCTCAAAAGCAGTTTCGCGCATCCTAGGCTGTGAAGTGTCAAAATAATTGGGAGTGTTTTCCTGCTGTGATGGAAGGATGGTACAGTGGACCTCTGGGATAGCATGAAAAATAACAAACACCCAACCACTGGACACCAGTGCAATAGCAAGAGTGGGATCACTCCATTTGTCTCTTTTCTTTAGTTCAGCATTACCAAAGAGGTACATAGTCATCCAGGCTACCCAAATCAGAATGGAAAAAAACAGCGTTATAATCAGGCATACTCCATTTTTCTTCCACTTCTTAAACTTTCCACAGAGAGTGAAAAGAGAAAACCCCATGGTAAATACCATCAGGAACATAACATAAATCAAAGCCATAGCAAAATCCATTGGTTCGTAGCTGCAAGACATCTTGTTGTCTCTGACAACTGTCAGTATTAACCACTCAGTTGCAATGATGACCTGAACAAGCATCAGGCAGATGGCCACACCAGCAAGATGCCAGCCAGATGGACTCTTCCCATGCCGAACAAGTCTGCGAAGTCTCCAAGCCTGAGCTAGCAAGCACGAGAAGCACAAAGCAAAGATAACTCCCCACAGAAATCTTCGGGTAGAACACACCATTTCATCTTCCTGAATGATGAAAGCAAACGTCAGTCCGAACAGTCCGAGTGTCCCAAACAGAAAGAGGAAGTGCATTCCCAGGGGGCTCTTCTTCTCTTTTTCCTTGATGAAGGGCAGCCTCACCAGCAAAATCAGCATAAGCAGTAATGTTGTCAGCACACCTGCTCCTGCAACCGCCTCCACAACGATTCCCCAGATGGCATCCAGGTCACAGAGGTACACATACTGAGGGAGGAGGTCCAGCCCGCACCCTCTCGGCGTGCTGGAGTTTTCAGAAGAGCCGTAGCTGATGACGAAGAGGACGAAGAAACCAATGGCTGGGTAGGTTTTCATTTTTCTGTCTGAGACAATAAACATTTGGGTGTTTAGCCACAGGTCACTCTGAAGGACTTGACAACAACTGGAAGTACAGCCTGTTTCAGTAGCTCACATTTACTCTTTTTTTCTGCGTGGGATTTTCAGCTGGATTAGCATAGCCCTACACCCCTTTGCTGCCCTCCCTCAAAGAAACTTTTGCCTGCTCTCTTAACACAGAGAGCAAACTGATTCATTTCTGTGTTTGCACTGATTGAAAACATTCCCAAGCACTGTCCCTGCAAATATCCTAAAACACCAGCAGAAATTGTTTACCATGTTGTTAAGTAATATATTATCTACAGTATTTTATTGTTCAGATTCAACTTCTTAAAGAATGTGTGAATTGCACTGGACTGTCAAAATTAGACCATTTCACAGACTTGCCCCTTTTATTGGAATGTAGACAGAGCAAAACCTTTTTTTTTCTAAAGGAAAATATTCTTTTCCTCCTCAGTCAATAGGCAGTTATAATATTCATTCCCTTCAAAGCCCAGGTATTAGGTTGCAATTGCAAATGGGAATGGTTGGCCAGAGAAACCCCCCACGCTCTGCAACAATGGAGCACACATGCAGTGTCATCAATCAACTAATCAAAAATGAATGACTCTTTGTGCTTCTTAGCAAATCTAAAGCCATTCGGATGAAACAAACAACAAGAACCAGAGCATCGCTCTCCTCGGGCTGCAGAGTGAACAACTCTCCAGGACCACAGCAACCCCACTTGCCATCGGGACCATTGGGCTGGACAGATTCCAACAAGTCAGGACAAATGCTTACTTTCAGGAAGAACACAGATTAGGTGGCTTTAAAAGATGTATGTAACAGCATTTGCTTTTACCAAGCAAAGCAGGGCGTTGTTAAAATGTACTCTTTAAATGAGCAGTCTGCCCCACACACAGTAAATACAACACATACCAGATAGGAAACCTTTCTGTTGACTTCTGCTTGCATAGTGCCGTGGGTTTCAGGTGGGTTACACTCAGTGATGCGAGCTGTGTGCCCAGCTTAACATGCTCAGAATAAAGCCTCTGTGTGTGGGAGAAAAGCACCACGTAAGCAGGCACTAATGTCACTCACACAGCATCCTTACGACACAGAGCAAGAAGTAGAGAAGCAAATTGCACCAAGTCCTAAATGACTGCCAAATGACATTTTATAAATCAGAAGTGCGTCTAAGGGAAACATTAAAAAGTTCTCTTTAAACCATTTTCAACTCTCATTAATGGTGCAGTGTTGTTATATTGGACGTGATCAGTCCAAACTGATGCAAAAACCATTCACATGTACTGCATGAAACAGCAGAGACTATTACAGATGAGAATGATGGGTTTTCTCCTGCGTGTTCTAGTCTTTTAATGACCGAAGCTAAATCCTGAGGATCTCAACCTTTAAGCACGTTCATTCATTCTCCTTTCACTGAGTTATGAATCCATGGTAGGTCTCTGTCTTGAGAGAATGACAGAAATTATTCTGTTTCCTATCAGAGGCACCAAGACTACAAACAGGCTAATATAAATGCATAATGGCTTCATGCTCTTCATTCACACAACAGAAAAAGGAGCTTACTACAAAACTTCATCTCTGCAGTGGGAGCTATGATACATAACGTGATCCGGGCTGGACAAATGAAAAGAAAGCAGTGACTGAGCTGCCTGCTCACAGGAGCAGAAGGGTCCTCGCACTGCTGGGAAGGCTAACATGTTCTGATGATGGGATGACATGTCGATGGTGAATAATGGTTTTTTTTTTCTACTTAGCTTTAGTTTTCTTTATGGCGAATCAGAAGAAAACTTACTTCTTTGTGTCTGATCTGCGTTTTCCAATGAGTGTTACAACACGTTAAAAAGCACTGACTTTACCAAGAGAAAATCAATCATCAGTGAAATGGATTCATTTTTCTACTGAAAATGGTCATGCTCAATAAATCTTTGCCCTGCGAATTCATAATTAACTAGAAGGAAACATTCCAAAGGTAATTTTGCAATTCCTTCTGTGCACAGGCAGTTCTTCCTTCAACTGCTGCATTCACTTGTTAGAACATCCAGAATCTCCTGAGAAGTGCAGAATGGTCAGTGCCTGCTGATGCACAGAGGAAATCCACGGGGATCCACGAGGGCACTGCTGAAAACCACTGGTACCAATTTCAAGAAGCAGGAGCTTACATGGAAAATTATTCAAAACTCCTCCTAAAATAATGTAGCCCCAACTGGAAGCAACAAATAGCCGTTTAAATGAGAATCACATTTGTTTTCCACTATCCTCTCACATACATATGATGACATACATGCACTACATTGATTTTAATACTGGCTTTGTTTATCCACTGCTCTCCAATGAGCTGCGGGGTAATGAATTAAGAGCAAGTATTGCCAGTTCTAAGATATTTTCCAGTTTTCTGGTTACTTTATTCATGTCATGTAACCCTCATGTGATGAAGCTATTCTAGGACAGTCTGTTTCCATGGCGATGGTGCTGCATGGGTAAGCAGTCATAGTGTCAGCCCATCACTTCTTTCCTCTTCCTATGTGGAAGTGTTTGGGAAAGGAGGATTAATGATGTTAAGTATTTCCCCCTGCAAGAAGGAATAGTTTCTTCCGGAAAAGGGGAATGAATTTGTATCAAAATATATTTAAAATTCAGACAAAATACATCCTCAGAAAGGCAGAGATGTTCAACTCAAGAGAACTTTTCCTAAGTTACTTTGATTTGTGAAATTACTTCCGGGAGAACTGATGGAAATGAGCAGTAGGTCTCTCAGAAGGCACTGACAGAACTGCAGTATCAAACAAGAGCTCACTGGGACTGCAAGTATTCCTGGTGTGGAATCACGTTCCCATCACATGACAGCAACCCGTGCTGACCCGCAGAGCCTTTCTCCACCAAAGCCTACAAGCAGAGCTCCATAGGAGGAACTTCTCCCCACCGCCATCAGCACAGCCACTCTCACAGCAGTGTACTGTGGACTGACTGGGTCAGAATCAACCCCATCAGCAGCCCCACGGGGATGTCAGCCAGAATCCTTCCGGCACTGGAACTGGCAGCGCACCCACAGCGCTGTGTGGGCAGGGAGAACAGTGCAGCACAACGTCAAGTCTGGCACAGGAGTATCACAGCTTCTGCTGAAGACACAGACAGAGTAAACGTGAGGGAAAACCAGAGAGCCCTTTCGCTGGAAAAGTTGTTTTGAAAAAGCAAAGGATATCAGTGCGGGTTTGTTATTAAAATAGTGGCTTCCTCCAGCTTGTGCTGTAGGTGGTGAGCCTGTGTGCCTCGAGGCTCCGTAGTAAAACCAGCTCCTCAACTCAGCAGCTGCACACATCGGTGGCTGCACAACGGCGTTCCTTCCTCTTTATGTCCAGATCAGCTCTCAGCAGAGCTGCACAGCCTGGCAGTGCGCTGACACATCGCTCTGCCACCACCAGAGCTGCAGTGGGAGCAGAGCACGACCAGCACAGAGACATTGCAGTGTGGTGCCCAGCAGTGTGACACTCCCTGTAGCGCAGGGGGGAACTCTGGCACAGCAGGAATCACCTCGACTCTTTTTTTTTTAAACCTCAGATCCCCCTCCAAAATGATATCTCATTGCGACCAGTTAAGCCAACATACCTGAGTCTGAGAGCAACCACAAGCACATGACATGAATCGAGAAGCCTCAGATATTTCAGAAACAAGCAGCAAACAAACAGCAGGACAGCTGCAGAGCCAGGCCACACTCCCGGATCGGCTCCCAGCACAGCGGGCACTGCGCTCTGCAGCCGGCACAGCCCCCGTGCTGCGGTATAGGCAGTGCACGCAAACCATGACAGGAGTGACACGCATGGGGCCCACGCATGGCACAAAGCATGGCTGCGGACAGCTCAGCAGGAACAGAAAACCTCACCGCTCTCTTCCTGAAGTTGTCATGGTTAAAAATCAGTGAGGCATTCCATTGCTAATGCCTTCTAGCTACAGACCTCAAACATCTCCCATCCAGTCAAAACTATGCTGTATGCTGCTAGCAAATATCTATGTGTAAAGAATAACATTACAACTGTGCAGAGATGTAAGGTGACGGTATTTATGGATTGCTGTGTTACCCGATCCCCTTTTTACAGACCTAAAGTTAACAATGCAATGCAAGAGGATGCATCCAACCACAGAGGAGGAAATCAATCTGTAACCGAGCTCAGGAGGAGCCCCCAGCCCCTGTTACCCCCGATCACAATGCGGGTCTCTGCCAGCACCTTCTGCTCAGGTGAGGGGTGGACTCCGAAGCAGACAGCGGAGCGGCAGCAGCCCAGCCAGGACGGGACTGCCGGGAGATTCATTTCTGGAATAACAATTAACGCTGCTATTGCGCTGCGGATGCAAAACTACAGCACTGATTGAGACGCGCCCCGTGTCAGAGGAACGCACGCACCGCTCGCGGCTGCACAGAGCACGGTCCGCTCCGAAACGCACAGAACGAGACGTACTCCGTAAGGCGCAGCGATCCCTCAGCCAGCGCTGCTCCTTCGCTTGGACTCCGCCGCCCGCGGTGCCCGCACTGCCCGCGGCTGTCAGCCCCGACGCGCTGCGCGTCTGAGCGCGATCGATGACAAGCGATCAATGCTTCCCTTTGCTCCGCTCGCTCTCAAACAACTGTTTCTCTTCACGTCACAGCCTCACACGGACGCCTTTCTTCACGAGGAGAACACCTCAGCACCTCCGCACTGCGCTCCGCCGCTGAGAAGCGCTCGGCGCTCCGCCCGTAACCAACCCTGGCGCGCAGCTCCGGTGGAGGAAATCCCGTTACCGCGGGATAACCATTAGCTCGGGCGTAAACAAAGGGTTCACATAAGTACTAAATCCCATCGCCGCTCGGCTTCGGGGGGCGGGAGTACACCGAGGGCTCCGCATTGAGATTCAGCTGTGGCGCGGCCGCCCCGAGCGCCACCGCTCCGCCCCGGGCCGCCCCTCCGCCCCCCCCCCCCCCCCCGCGCCTCCGGACTCGACCGAGGCGGTGGGGTCAGCGCTAGGGTCCCCCCCAGGTTGGGCTCTGCGCCCCGCACGGAGCTCCGCTCCCTCCCACGCGGACAGCCCTGCAGTCCCCCCGCCCTGCCCCGCGGCACCTCCTCCCGCCGTCCTGTGCAGTCTGCTCCGGCCCCGCTCTTTTGTCCCTCCGCTCGTTTCTCTCTCCGCTTTCTCTCCCTTCCTCACCTTCCCCCGTTCTCCCCGCTCTTCTTACCCCCGTCTCCTAACTCCCCTCGTCGTCCTCCCTTCCCAGACCCCTCCTCCACCCTCTCGCCCTATATCCCCTCTAATCCCCTTCCTTGACTCCCGGCCCCAGCCGCTGTCCGCTCCCGTTCCGCGAGCACAGGGCAGGGCAAGGCGGGGCGGAGCGGGGCCGCAGCTCCGTGCCTCCCACCGCCCGCGCACCTGCCTGGGACCGGGGCAGCCCCCTCCCGCTCGCCCGCTCCCTCGCTCTCCCACTCACCGCCTGTGCCGCGGCCGTGTCTCAGCCGCCGCCACTCACATCCCGGCGCGGCGGTCAGAGAGCGCAGCGCCGGCTCCCCCCCCGCGCCGGCGGCGGCTCATGGAGCGGTGCTGTGCGCGGTGCTGTGTGCGGCTCTGCGCTGCGCTGCGCTGCCCGTCCCGCCGCGCTCCGACCTCCCGCCCCCTCCCACCGCCCCGCCCCGGCGCGGCCGCACGGCCCAGGGGTGTCCCGGCTGCGCAGCGGCCAGTGGCGGGTATGCAGACGGCCGTCGTGAGCGTACACACACGCGCAGACACAGCCGCGTACGGAGCTCGGTGTGCAGCGCGGCACGTATACACCTCCAACACACCTCCACGGGCACCGTACCGCGGCCGCGACTCTGCGCTGCCGTGCGGTGATGTGAGCGCGGGGCACGGGCGTGCGGCGGCCCCGCGTGCTCTGAGCGGTGCGGGTGGAAAACCTCCGGCAGCCGCGGGCTTCGGCGCGGTTCTGAGATCCGCGCTAGGCCGGGGACGTTCCCGGGGTCCGCCTCGAACGCCCGCGCCCGGCTCTCGGACGGAGCTCCGCGTTCGGCGAGGAACGTCTGGAGCGATCCGTGCTGCATTCGCTCCTGCACAGAGCCCGGGAGAGGGCCGAGCAGCCCCGCAGCCTCGCGGTGGGACAGGAAAGCAGCAGCGGAACAATTCCACGTTTCTTCTCTTCCTCCCCCAAGTTCCGATTCTGGACTCGAGGCGCTGGCCGTCCCTGAGGCAGTACCCCCCGCTCCGCCTCCGTCGGTGAGACGCGGGAACGGCCCGGCGGCGGCGGAATGGGCAGAGGCGCAAACGGCAGCGCGGAGAGGTGGGCCGCCGGAGAATGATGGATCACAAGGACTCATGTGATGGAGGCTTCGGCCCGCTCACAATGGAGCAATGAGCAGAGTCTTTCCGCAGATGCAAATTCTGCCACTGTTCCTTTCCGTGCTCCTCTCCCTGCTCCCCTGGTGCTCTGCCTTCTGCGGGCAGAGCCAGGAGCATGATACCCCAACCTGTCACCGGCGGAGCGATAGCAAATGAGCCCGATTCCTGACCTGGGGAAATATTTTGTTACATTGGCTGCCCTGAAAATGCAAAGAACAGGACACGGAATCCTTGAGGAAATTCTAAGAGGACTTTGTGTTGCAGCAGGACTAAACCACATCTCCCTGTGCTTTACTTCCTTCTGGCAGTTAACTTGGAAGATGTGCTCTGAAATGTGCTTTTATGAAGGGAGAAAGCCCTTCTGCCTGTCAGGCACCCGCTCAGCAATACCCTCAGCACCCCCTGCTGTGGGAGTTGGGGTGGTGGGTGGGCAGAGCTCCTGCACTGATGTTCTTTCTCAGCTCCTGCACAACACCTGCTGCAAAATTTCCTAATTTTTAACTTGTTTTCAGTATTTGTCTTCCAGCTTCTGACAGGATGTACACAGAGAACCTTTCTGATGCTGCACGTCCACAGATTCCCTCTGCTGCAGCAGTGCTTTCAGCAGCACTTGACAGCAGAGAAAGTGCATTCCAGCCCTGTGTGGATGGCACTCACCACCAACAAAGGCCAAACCCATTCTGCCACAGCCAACCACCCTCATTTCAGAACTACTGTCGTGTGCCAGAGTGACATAAAGGCAATTTCTGCCCTCTGTTCTCTCCTTCACCATCAGACAGCCAGGAAGGTGCTGTGCTTTCTGCAGGAGTGGGAAGAAGCTGTCAAACAGCATTTCTCCACAGCTATTGGTTCTGCAGAACCTCAGTTGAGTGCTTCTGTGGCTGCTACCAGCACAGACCTGTGCTCATGTCAGTGCAGTTTAAACACAGTATTTCACCAAGAGATCAGCAGTAGGAGCAGGAGATGACAGTGATCAGTAAGCCCGTGTTGCTGACGGTTGCACAGCAGGAGCATGTTGAGGCTCTGGCAGACACAGGGCTGTGCATTGGTCCTCCTGCACGTGGCCCAGCCGGACACAGCACCTTTCCAGCAGCACCAAAGGAGACCCCAAGTGGTTCCATCACTGGATGAGCTGCTGTGGGGCCTCTTCTGGGTGCTGGGATGCCCTGAAAATGCACGTAGATGAAGAGAAGGAGATGTTGGATGGATTTGCCCCAGCTGGTGCTGTGTGATTGTTTCACAGTGTTTGTGACCCGTGGGCAGAGAGGTGTTTGTCATTACACAAATCCCTGCAGCGTGATTAGTTTGCCTAATACTCGGCCTGCTTTTTCTCGGGGCAGGATACAAATCCTGGAGCTCTCATTGGCTGGCAGCATCAAGGAGACAGTGAGACTTTTGTGGCTGCTGCGAATGGGTTTCTCTATGACTGCCGCGGGTGTCACACGTTGCTCCTCACGGTGCACAGGACTGCTTGGTGGGGCTCAGTCACCAAATGGGCGGAGAGGAGAAGGAGAGAAGGGGAAATGAAAGAAGGAAAGAGTCTTGAAATCACCATGAAGCAAGAGGAGGATGACAGGGAGGACGTGGACACATGGGGTAGAAAGAATTACAAAAACATTAGGGAGAAAGGTAATCTGGTAGAATTTACATTCATGGCACAAAAGAAAAGTGCTCTTAGGATGGGTAGCACTGGCAAAAGGTGTGGTGTTGGTGGCCACACCAGTGCACAGAGCCAAATTACACCGGTTTTGAAGGTAGGAACACATTTTTAGCACTGCACACATCATTGCCTGTCTTAAGGTGTGCTGTAAGGGGAGGTGGTGAGTGCTCACTTACAGCCAGGACAAGAGAGCAACTGTGCAGGCAAGATTTACATTGCAGTCAACTTGTTTTCTCAACACATTTATCACATGAGTAATGAATAAATGCTGCAGAGAAGCACAGACAAGTTAAGATCTAGTGCAATTGGCAGCATTTGACTGATACACCATTCAGATCAAGATGTTCTGTCTTATCGGGCACCTGGCTTGGGTTTGTACACCTTCAAGTCCTCACTTCACAAGGAAAAGTTGCCATAGACTTTCAAATGAGCATCTCCATGCTGTGTCAGTGTGCAGTACTGAGGCTTCAGCAGAACAGACTCTTCTCATGCTGGACAAACCATTCCATTTTTAAAAGTCTATTCTTGACTTTTGCTCCAGCAAAGCACCAATTCTGTTAAATTAGATCTGACCAGACAAAGAGTTTGTGGCTTTTTGTTTCCAGCCGGAGAATTTATTGCCTTGAAAAACTTCATTTGCTGGGGAGCTGGAGATCCTTGCCAACACTGAGCATTTCTGCTCAGCAGCTTAGAGCTCCTTTCTGAGATCATCTGAGTGCAGAAGGGCCGGATTGCTGTGCATGGAGCAGCTCTGTGCCCATGGGGCCTCAGTGCACTGCCATGGTGCAGGCAGCGTGGTGTCTGCAGGGAGGTGTCTGTGCTGCTTCATGTAAAGGAATAAAACAAAATGGTCGTGGAGTAGAGAACAGGTTCTCGTTTTTCTCTTACATCACTCGCTATGGTTCTGGTCGAGCCATTCAAACAACTGCTTTATTCCTTTGGATGTTAAGCAAGGTGCAGCCATTTAATATGCATGGCGGCTTTGTGGGCTAAGGAAATGTTTTCTTAGCTTTCAGCACAAAGGTTGTCTTGGCCATCACCAGCAGCTGTGTTGTAAACACACAGATGTGTGCAGAGGAGTTTGTACTCCAAACACAAGTTTTGCCTACGGCTGCTGCAAAGAAAATGTTGCAGTCATCTAAAATGTGCATTCAGGTTCTCTGCTCTCCTTGAAATGTTATAGGTATCAGCTGGTGTGACTGTGTCAGCTTGAACATGCTTATGTTTCAAATGGGCTGCATTTCTAAGTGCTTTTATTTATATATGCTTGGGTTGCACCTACACTGAGATGTAAAGATGATTTTCTGGAGGGGTCAGGAATCTGCACTCAGGAGCTTTGCTGGCCTTCCTTCTTTTGGTGTGCTATGTGAGAAATATTGCCCCCTGTTGTGGACTGTCTGCACGTATAAGCACACACAGATAACATTTACATCCTGACAGAAAGGGGAACAGCAGCCCCTCTCTGTGAGCTGCCCAGGCTCTTCTGTTTCTAAGTCTGTCCTCCACTGCCCAGCCAGCAGCTCTAAGCAGCTCTGTGACAGTCTGACAAGAGGAGGCAGCTCTGCATTTAGAAATTATATGCTGAGATGGTCCTGTTTTACATAACTGCAAACAGCAGTAATTCTGTGAATGGAGCTAGACTGAAAACTGGGAGGTCTTCCTCTTTTATGAAACATCCAGATTTCCTGGAGTTTTGTTGCAAAGGAAACTGATTCTATGAGTCTGTGAGAACTTGCCAGAATGGAGTGTGTCTTGAGTCCCAGGAAATATAAAATGAGCAACCAGTGGTTAGAAAATAAGCCATGTCCCATAATCAAGAGGAAGACAAAAAACTCAAAGCCACACAGCTGTTCTGTCTGTGGATTTTTGTTGTGTTAGTCC